TTTATGATAACCTAAATCATTGAAACAGGTCTACAAAATAGGGCCCTCCCTCGTGATACAATGTGTTAAAGCACAACCCTGCAAGCGAGCCTATAGCCAAGTCAGGGCTAGTTTCATCCCTGGCCCGGAGGTGATCCACATGGCAGGGCAGACCTCTCCTGACCTCTCCTGACCAGCCCACTGGTCCCCTCAGCAGTGTACTTCATCAATCTGCCTGTTTTGCTCCTTACTCTGTCTCTGGTGAGTCCTCTCACCACCCCTGCACCTCTGGCTTGCACACCAGGTCTGTATGCACAAATAAATAAATCTTTTTTTTAAAGTCTACAAAACATCTGATATAAAAACATACATACAGGGCCTCCCTTGGTGGTGCAAGGGGTTAAAGTGCAGCACTATGAAGCTAGCCATAGCCACGACAGCATGAGTTCAATCTCCAGCCAGGGAGCTGACCCATATGGCACATGACCCATGTGGGTCAGGTCCTCTCCTGACCCACAGCTACTCCCCTCAGAAGTCTATTTCCGTTAATCTGCCTATTCTATTCCCCACTCTGTCTCTGGTGAATCCTCTCACTCACCCCTGCCCCATACCCCAGTTCTTGTATGCATTAATAGATATACATAAAATCAAAAAACAAAGAGTAGCAACAAAATCTTAAAAATAATAGGAGGGGGGTATTTAAGTCTCAGTACTCACTATCAAGCTATCTGCAGCCACTGCAGCACAAGTTTGAGCCCAGAGAGTTGATGCACATAGTGCAGCAGATCTCTTCTGTCTTGTCCACTGTATTTCAGCAGATCTGCCTGTTCTGCTCCCCATTATGTTCCTGGTCAATCCTCTTACTTATTACCTCCACTACCACCTCTTGCCTGCATCCTAATTCTTGTATGCATAAATCAATAAGATAAATCTTTAAAAGAATATATGTTTACTAAGCGTATATATTTGAACAAGCATGGGCTTCAGGTTTGACCTTTGTCATATAATTTTAACAATTATATGACTCTTGAACAAACCCTACAAAAGGTTTTATGGAACCCACCCCCACCCCAGACCAGAGACCTAAAACACCTAGGACTACAATCCGATAGTGTCATTATCACTGAAGGAAGGATTGTTGGTAACTGAGTGGAGATAAGCAGCCAGACATGTGGGCCTATGGGGGGCGGGGGGGGGGTTTGCTCAGTGGAACTGGTAGGATGGATTCACCAATTTCTCCCTCGTTTTCCCTGAGTTATTCCTTTCTTCTTTTCCCCTTTTAAAACTTTCTATCTGTGCTATGGTGATTTGGTAATGGGAAACCGGTGGGGATTCCAATTGAGATGAAAAAAAAAAAAAAGTACAAAAATGATGTAAAAATAAACTGTTAAAAAAAGTTAAAAAAAAAAAACTTTCTGTGTCTGCAGTTGAGTCTCACTATAAGTTCCTTTTAAGCGTTAGGTGAGAACCCACAGTCAAGCCAACCCATTTCACATTGGGTTGCCCTGTAAAAGTTTCTGTCTTCCATCTATTCCAATTCCATACCTGTGTTTTTCCAGGGCCAGAAGGAAAGAGACTAGCTATGGCCAGCATCACAGTCAACACTGCTCTTTATGAGGTAATATTACAAGGACTTCTGTGCATATGACCCTACTCTAAACTTGCTCACTTCTAGTTTGTGAAGTGGTGTAGAAAAGTACCGTGCCATCTCTAAGGTATGGTTTCAACAGCAGAACAATTAGATCTACTTATTCTCAAGGAAATGAGATGAAAGCACTGCCTTTAAAAAAATTGCTTTAAATGAAAATAAAAGCAGACAATAGTGAGAAACAGGTGTGAGTTACTGAATACAATTCATTTACACCCATTAGGGAGTACCACCCGCTGACCCTGGATTTTTTTTTTTTTCCCCCACACCTCCTGGCACCTAAACTGTCACTTCCCTGAAACTCCAAGAGATTTTACAAAGGCTACTATGAAACTAAAACCACACTTAGAGGGGACTGTGGGTAGGAGCTGTCTTAGCCAGCTTTCCCCTAGAAATTGGAAGGAACTTTGGGGAAAACCAATTTCTCTCTCTGATTAAATACAATCTTTTCACTGCTTCCCTTATTATTAGTTTTTAAAGCACAAATCATGTACCAAAGATTGAGAGTCCATGAGTCAAAAACAATCACTTCTGGTTCAATCTTTTCAATGGCTTAATCATTATCTCCTCTATGGAGTTTTTTCTGGGGCCAACGACTGCAGGTTGAGACTCATCTCTAAGAGGGGCAACTGAAAGGGCAGTTGAAAGTTGCCCAAATCTGTCCTTGACAGAGTTAAAATGCCCTAGAACACTCCTGCTATTCATGAATAAAATATGCAGTGCAAGCCAAAGAAGTGCGATTTAAGTCTCACCTTAGCTGCACTATGTTTTCAAACTTAGCACTATGTGGTAAAGAGAGGCACTCGATTCAAAAATAAGATCAGAGGTCCCTTAAAAGACTAAAGGAAATGAAAATCACGCTCCCTTCAATCCAGTTTTTGGCACAGCTCCTGACAAATTGCTTTGCAACTTACCTGGTGATGCTAATCAGTCCTTATCCAACCCGCCAGGGCAGATTTCTGAACCCTATGGAAAAAGTCCCAGGACTCCACTAGGCACTCAACCAAGTCTGTCAGGAAAGTGAAGGGGTTAGTGGGGTCATTAAAGAAATGCCTGTTCTATGTTTAAAGTGCAGCACCATATCCATCGTTTCTCTGATTAAATAAGTCCTTCCCTTCACCCTACCTTACATTCCCTAAGTTTGAGAGTAAGTAAATATAAACTTTACAAGCAATAACATAGGATTATAAAGTAATGCATGCCCAGGGGCCATTTGAAATTGGGATGACCTGTTAATGGCACCTTGAGGTTCCAGGAACAAAAGTTAACAACTTTCAACATCCTCACCACCCAGACTCTCAGGAACCTTATCAGCTGCCGTGACAGTTGTCAGGGAGTCCTTGCTAGAACTGCCAACTGACAAGCCTGCCTGCTACTCTAGGAAGTGAAGGTCCAGATAGATTTTAAATTCAGGCCTAACCACACATGGAAAGAACAAAAACCTGAAATAAAGGAGGGAATTTTCTGAGAATAGACCACCTACCCACACAGGCCCAGGTGGAGAAAGGCCCACATTCACTACAGAAAATAGTCATTTGTTGCTATTCTTATCACATAAATTCAATACTTAAACAACAGCATTCCAGGTTGATCCCAAGAACTTATGAGGGAGAATTTTATTGCTTAAGTAATCAAAAGCATCAGTTACAAGCAGGTTTACCTTTAGGTTAGGAGCAGTGGGGAGCACCCAAAACAGGGTGATGGGGAAACCCCTTTGTTCAGGAAATCCCACCACTCAGACAAACCATTAATTTCACTCTAGACTCCACTATCAAATTTTAAAAGTTCCCCCTTAAAGAACTCTGGAATAAACAGACCCAGTGCTTTTTCCAGAGGCCTTTCTGGCCCCCAGGACACTATCAATTCACATGACTTTTCTTCCCAGATAGTGTCTTTTATTTTTAGAGTGTAACACTTGCAACTGATTGTGTGTACCATTTCAAATACCTTGCAAACACATCCCCATTCTGAATTTCTCAGGAGTCTCCAAAGAATCTGCAAGGAGCTAACGAATGCAATTTGAATAATAATGAGGCGACAGAACAATTTAATTACCAAAGGTAGCCCTCGAGACTCTCAACAAAGGGGCTGAGAGCCTTTATCTGCAAAAAATGTGGCGGGTGCTCAACTGTGGGACCAATTATGTAGAGTGCAGTGGAGAGAAGCACACAGGAACATAAAACAGTTTAAGCAAAGAGGGAATCAGTTATGAAAAATGGGTAATTTGGAAAGGGTCTTTCTCATCTGTCAGGCTCAAGACTTAACTTTCTTCTCTTTCCGCAACATTGAAAGCGCCTACCACGTGCAAACTGTCCCTTTACAACAAAAGGCTTTGTAAAGGGACCTGTAATATAAGTTCAATGAATTCTCAATAAAAGTTCAACATTAAGCCACAATGGCACTTTTATCCCTCCACCCCATGTCTTCAAAGTAAAGCACTTCAAAAGTTCCTTCTCTAGGATGCATCCAGCTTCACCGAGATGTTTAACAGACTCCTTCCACTGACCTTTTTCGAGTGACCTTAACATAAAGGACTTTTGCCCTGCTCTGGAGAACAAAAAAAAAAAAAAAAAAAAAGACGAGTCGTTCTGGAATCCTAAAAACCTCTCTACGTCCTTACGCCTGAAAATTTAAATACAGAAAGCCCCCACCGGCTCTAAAATGGCTCGATCCTGCTTCCTGAACAGGAAAGAATTTGCACGGTATTTCGCCCCCGCTCCGCGCACGTTCCGAGGACACTGCCTCGGCCAGGTGGTGCCTCTGGACTAAGGTGTTCTGACAACAGTGTTTGTCTGGATCGCGGGAAACCAGCCTCCCTTCGGTTACTTCCACAGCACCCCGGCGCACCCCCACCACTCCGGGGGCCCCCACGCGCAGACCACGCCGGCCCTGTTCGTGCACAGCGGTTACACCCGGCAAGACTGACACCCGCAGCTGCCTCCGACCCCGCCAGTCACGCTGCCGCCCGCTGCCTTTTTTAGCCACGACATCTGACCCCGGCTTCAACAGCAGCATACAGAAAGAGGTCCCCCGGCGCGTCGGGAGGCCCCCTCCTTCCCCCAGCCCCCAGACTCTGCAGAGAGCTCGGGATGAGGGTGGGGTACCGATCCCCGTGGAGCACCGAGAGCGCGCGTTCCTCCCACTCAGACTCCTCCCCCACTTGAGCCCTCCCCACCGATCCGTGCCCCTCCGGTGCCGGCCCTCGGGTTCCCCCATTTTGCAGCTCGCGATCGCGCCCCTCCCCGCCCCCACTCCGCAACTACGCTCTCGCGGATCGCCCCCAACTCCGCGGCCAGCGCGCCCGGCCGGGTCCGGGCGGCAAGGCAGAAGGCTGGGACCGGGTGCAGGACGGGGGCCGGATACAGGCGCTCACCTCCCTCCTCCGCGCCGCTGTCGGGGTCGGCGTCCGAGGAGCCGGGCCCGTCCCCGTAGTCCGAGAGCCCCACCAGCTCGTCCTCCTCGTCGTCGTCCTCCTCCTCGGGCTGTGGCTTCCCCAGCACCTGGCTCATGGCTCCCACCAGCCGGCGGCCCGGGGGCGGCGGAGGTCCGGGGTGGGGGCCAAGCCTCCTCACCCGCCGCTGGCAACCTATTTCTGAACTGGGGTTTCGTCTGAAGCTCCGCGGGAGTCCGCGGAGGTGGGGGCCGCGGTCCCCCGCGGCGGGCGGCGTCCAGGTCTGGGCCCGCGGTTCCCCGCGCGGCCGGAGCCCCCTGCCCGCCCCGCCCGCCTCCGGCGGAGGAGTCAGCCGGAGCGCGGCAGTTCCTCCCCGAGGAGGGAGAGAGAGACTGCGTGACCCGAGTCACCTGACACACACTGTCACACACACACTCTCACACACCCCGCACGGGTGCGCGCGCGCTCTCCGGTCGCAGGCGCCGCTCGGCGGGGTGCTGGGCCAACACGCTTGGGGAGCCCGCGGTCCCGGCCCCGCGACCCACCCGGCGGCGCCCACAGACACGCTGGGGGCCCGGGACGCGACGTAGCCACCCACCGCGGCTGCGCGCCAGGGACCCCCTACAAGCCGCTTCTGCTCGTGGTCCCAGAGCTGGGGGCCTGCACCCCTTGAGAATTACCTCTCTCCCCTCCCCCCCTCCACCCATACCTTACCTTGGGCGGCGTTCTCTGACCTTTAATCCTGGGAGGAGGGTTCCGTTCCAAAGTAGGTTGCTCCACTCCCCCCAATACTGCTGCATCCCGGCCCACACCGCAATCAGCGTGCCTAGGACACCCGGAGGATGCTGAAGCGCCCCAAGAAGAGAACTCAGAGAAATGCTCGGTGGAGGCGCAATCTCCATAGCAATTGCCTTCTAGGGTGCATTTATTGCTCAAAACGCTTCCCACCAAGAGTATAAAAAATTCAGGCCTACCCAGATATAAATGTTTGTGGAGGAATGCATGCCTCCTGCCTGCCTAAACTAAAATATAATTCTTTCGTTGCAATTTAGGAAGGTCTCAGGTGTATATAACACACATGAGCATACTCATGGCCACCTCCTCCATCTCATTGCTGCATAAATTATAATCCCATATCTCAAAAGACAATTTTCAAAGCTTTTTTGGGGTGGGGGGTTAGGTTTAGAGGAGAGTGCAATTCTCACATAAGAATAGTATCAATGTGAAGGTAAGGCTGAAACCTGCACTCCTCCACCAGTTTTTCACCACAGAATATACTATTTCCACCCTTTCTGAGAACTGAAAAAAAAGAAAGAAAAAAAAATCACGTGGATGAACTTCCTTCTGTCAAGCAAATAAATAAACCAGCTGGCCAGCATGGTGATCCAGATTCTACAGGTGCCAAGAACTCAGCAGGTGGTGTGGGGGTGGAGAGAGGAAGAAGGGACCAGGGACCTGAGTCTAGAGGCTCTTAGGGTTCCACAACGCTGCTTCTGTAGGGAACATTTCTTGAGCACCAGCTGAATACCAAGAGCTGGATTAAGGCCCCAGGGGATGGATGCTCAGTGTTCCTGGCCTGGAAGAGTTCTCAATCTAGCAGATCACACACAACTCATGTTTGTCGTAGGTGTGGGTGTTGAAGGTGGATGCATACACCTGCCAGGAGATGGCTGTTTCTAATTGGAAAGGTCTTTGGATTTTCCATGTGGAGGCTGTGTAACTTGCTAAGACTATCTATCAGGAGCTTTCCCAGGAGGAAAACAAATGTAAGAATTTAATTTAAAGTGAAGGGGTAATTTGCAGGGGTGTGGGCAGAGTTGAAGGAGTCAACACTGGGATTAAGAATAATGCTAAGAGGGCCTTCCCTGGTCACGAAACCAGTTAAAAGTGCAGCACTACTGTGAAGCTATCCGCAGTCACTGTGACCAAGAAGCAGACCCACATGGTGCAGCAGACCTCTCCTGTCTCACCCACTGCTCCCCTCAGCACTATATTTCAGTGGACCTGCCTGTTCTGCTCCCCACTTTGTGAATCCTCTCACCCCCGCCACACGTCTGGCCTGTACCCCAGTTCTTCTATGCATAAATAAACAAATCTTTTTTAAAAATAATGCAAGGAGATATAAGTGACTCCTAAATTAGTAAGAGTAATGGAAGAGAGGTAGAGAGGAAACACAAAACAGGGCCTGTAGCAGCCAACAGTGGGAAAAACATCTTGACCTCTCCCTCCTCCCCCCCTCTGTCCTGGAAGTGGTCAAACTTTACTGAAAGTTAGAAAGCAAGGGAGTCTGCAACCTGCTCCAGGACACAGAGATCAGAGATTGGGTGGGGAAGGCAGAGAGTTCGCCTCAGGGTGAGAAAGAGGGTAAGCAGCACAGCACACCGGCCCAAACAAGCACCATTTAAAGTCATCAGAGAACGTTACTCGTCGTTTTCCTAGTCCATTTTCATTTATTCTCTACAAGGAAATCCCTGGGAGGGGCACTACCAGAGTGGATTTCAAGATTTTCAGCTATCCCACAAGAAAACCGCCAGCCTGGAGAGGCCTTTAGCTGGTCAGATTCAAACTGCACACAGTTATATAAGGAAACCTAAAAGCCTGTCCAAGACCAGCCCAGACTTTCAGGACATCCCTGGGCTGGAAGCCCAGTGTATAGACCCAAGGGGTTAGAACAAAACTGTTCCTAAGCTCAAAACTTACTGTGCCTGAGACCCAGAAAGGCCAGGAATATCTCTGCCTTTCCCCAAGAAAAGAAAAGAAGACATCTTTAGCCAGAAACAGCAGCAGTAGTTTGGAGCACATTTTAAAATACTTAAGAATGGAACCAATTTCAAGAGACAAATAACAAATTCAAAAAAAAAAAATCAATAAAACCAAATCCTCAATTGTGTTCCATGTAAAGGTAGATAGAATCATAGATTTAAGAGTTTCTAATTCATCGTCATATCAGAAATGTACAGTCCTTGGTAAAGTATAAGCAAGTAGAACAGAAAATTATTGCTTTTCTGGCTTTGCTGTTATTGAATGCTGTCTTTTTTTTTATGATTTATTTAGCATACAAGAGCTGGGGTGCAGGCCAGAGGTGCTGGGAGGTGTGTGAAAAGATTCACCAGAGACATAGTGGGGAACAGAACAGGCATACCTCCACTAAATTACACTGTTGAGGGGAGTAGCAGAAGAGACAGGAGAGGTCTGCCATGCCATATGGGTTACCTCCTGGACTGGAGGTCAAACTCATGCTGAAGTGGCGTTCGCTTCTTAGTGCTGTGCTTTAACTACTGCGCCACCAGGGAGGGCCCTCTCTGGTTGTTTTTAAAGATTTATTCATGTTTGCATACAGAACTGGGGTATAGGGCAGAGGTGCAGGGGCAGTGAGAGGTTTCACCAGAAACAGAGTGGGGAGCAGGACAGGCTGATTGACAAAGTACATTGCTAAGGGAAGCAGTGGGCAAGACAGGAGAGGTCTGCTGTGTCATGTGGGTCACCTCCCTGGCTAGGGATCAAACTCCGTGCTGAAGCAGTATGGCTAGATTCATAGTGCTGTGCTTTAACCCACTGCACCATCAGAGAGGGCCTAAATACTGTTTGTTTTAAAATAAAAGATATGTTGAAAAATATCCTAGAAGTAGAAGTTCTTAAATTTGAAAAGTCATGTGCATGGATTATTTATTCTTTTAAATAAAATTACACACTAGAAATTGAAAGACTTTGAGAAAGCTTGGTGTGGAATCTTTGCAGTGAATTAGCTTCTTCTTTAGCCACTCTCTGGCTTGAAGCTCAGGGTATGTCTGTGATGTCTCTCTGGGAGAGCACTCTCAAGAATGCGAGGATTTGTTTCTGGGATACTCATGGATTTTGCTATTGTGTGTAACCATGGTAGGTTGCCATATTCATGGTAAGTGCCTAATAAATGTTTATAGACAGAATAAAAAAGGGAGAAGATAAATAGTGCATAGCCAGGTCTTTCCACAAACCTAGCATATTTTGGAGAGAAACTTCAGGAAGAGATAGGCAGGAGCCAAGTTTTCGTATTGCTCTAAAACCTGGACATGCCCAAGTGAGATCCATATAAACTGTGAACTACCAGGGTACAACTGAGTTATGGGCTGGCATTAAGAAAATTATATTTTTGTTTTAGGACTGTGAGAAGATTTTAAGGAATTACAATATTGTGGCTGACATTGTAGTGAAATGTTAATAACTAAATCTTTCAAGACACCTCTTAACTTTTATAACTCTTTTGTAATATCGTGACAGATGAGTTTTGTCTGCCCATTAAAATTCAACCTACTGGCCCTCCCTGGTGATGCAGTGGGTTAAAGCACAACACTAGGAAGCAAGCCACAGCCACTGCAGCCCTGGCCCGGGAGGCCACATGACGTGGCAGACCTCTGCAGTCTCGGCCACTGCTCCCCTCAGCAGTGTTTTTCAGTTATCTGCCGGTTCTGCTCCCCAGTCTGTCTCTGGTGAATCTCTCACCGCCGCTCCACCTTTGGCCTGTACCCCAGTTCTTGTATACATAAATAAATAAATCTTTAATAAAAATAAAATTCAACCTACTGGTATTTACTGAGTATGTCTATGAATAAGGCACTACTCCAAAAATTACCATTAATTAAATCATGTTATTGCCCATATTTGTTTTATTAAAATTTTTTTTTTGGGCCCTCCCTGGTGCCGCAGCGGGTTAAAGCGCAGCACTGA